ACGAAAGAGCCATTTAAGCAGCACACATCACAGAAATAAGACATTTTGTGTCCTGCTCCACGCTTCAGCCCAAACACGTACATGGTAACTGTTGGATGAACAAGGGGTAGAACGTATTTGGAAGGGAAAGGGGGGGCTTAACTTTACCAGATTCGCTGACAGCAGGAAGGGGGGAGGCAATGCCATGGGAAAAGGCGGAGGCAGCAGAGAAAGGGAGTGGGGCATTCTCACAGTCACCTATAGGCAGCGAGCGGAGCAGAGCAGAGCAGAGCAGAGCAGAGCACAGCATTATGAACAGTTTCTCTGAGCAACTCCCCATCCAGCGGTGGAGGCTGGCTGGGAGTTAGCACACCAGCAGGGATGCCGTGATGTCTGTTTTTGTCTAATTCGAGGCAATTTAAGGTTGTTTTTTTTCATCAAATCGTGGTGATAGTGTAAAGGAGGTAGATTCGCTGGTTATTCTGATTTGGCCATTATTTGTTCATCCACAGATATTGGTACTATGCTGTAAAGACCCACACAGACATGTGATACCATCCTGTCTTTTTTGGAAACTAGGGAAAAGCTTTCATTTCTGCACATGCACACTTCAGCAGCCAGGCCACCAGCAATGGTCGGGCCAAGAGAGTACCCTCAGAACAGTCACACACACACGCTTCAATTGTATATTGTTATCTAAAAGAAACAGAGCTAAATGTCATTCCTGCGGAGAAATTCAAATGCTTTCTTCAATATTCCATATCTCTTCAATAATGTGTCATGTATTTTCAATTCGTCTTCTTACCTGCTGGGGAAAAGCCTCTGCCCCAGCGTTTTGTTCTCTGCTCCAGCTGAAGGCTGCGCTCCAGAGAACGTTTCATCAGGGCCTCCAGCCGCTCCTGAATGAAACACAGAGGAGGTGCCTTTCAATCGAAGACAACTACTTCCAGTCTGACTGTGCTGGCCTCACAGAGCTGTCGGCTGTTATTGTTGTGAACACTAAAAATCCTATGTCTACATTGACATCACAACAAAGCTGGGTTTTCACAGGTTTAGAGTACACAAAGCCTAAGTCTGAAACTGTCAATAATCACCGAAACACAAACAAAACAAGGGCAGAATTGGTTTAATTAGCTGACCCTCTCCTCCTCGAGCTGCTGCCTCCTCTTCTCCTCCACCGCGGCTCTGCGGAGCTCCTCTTTCTGCCTCTGCTCCTCCAGCCGCCTCCAGCGCTCCTCCACGGTGCGCTCATACTGGAGCTGGGCCCTGCGCTCCTTCTCCCTGATCTGCTGCTCCCTGGCCGCTGGAAGAAACGAGGGTTCCACGCAGGAATTAAACTATGGCAGCCGGTGCTACTGCCTGTGGTTTTTAGTTGTTCATCTTTACAGACAAAATTCCAGAAAGTAGAGAAGATCATCAGAAATGTGACCATTTAAGTTTGAAAGTTTTGAAAAATGACACTTTTACTTGCAAACTTTATTCTTGCAGTGATTTTGATTTCCTCTCTCAACACACACTGAATAACAAGTCACGAATATGGAAGTCCTTGTCACTGTGGGGCAACTGCTGGCGCTGTAAGTATGAGACCTACTTCGGTGGACTGTTCAGTGTAACTGTCAGAATGACACAGCCCATCATATCAAAAGCCAAGTGAACTCAAAATGAATCTTCTACAGGCAGGCAAAGAACTTCCTTGGCCAATTAAACTGCAGACAGAAACATTTCATATCAAAAGAATATGAGAAAAGAAAAAAAACACTCCTCTGAAAAAGTTCAGAGGATCAGTTACCCAAAGGCTTTTACAAAAAAAAAGACTCTTCCTACCCAGGCTTCTCTCTCTCTCCTCTCGCCTCTCTTTGGCTAAACGCATCCTGTCGTCTGTCTTCATGTAACCCTCCAAACCTGAAAGGTTAGTGAGGATGTCACAGAGTGAAAAGAGGCATTGTAACCTTAGAGGAGTAACCACGTTAAAGCAGAAGCACTCACTTTGCTTACCTCCATGGTTGTTACTGTTATTAGCTGCCAGGTGTGAAGGGGATGCATGTCCGTTCATTTGTGGCTTCCTCTCTGCGTTGGATAGAGCTGAAATCGCACCAATGAATGGAAGAGGAAAACACACTCAGCTTTGCCTAAAGAGGTATGACATAAGAGCCCAGAACCGAGCTGCCGTGCTGTGTTCCACCAGCAGAGGGGGCACAGACTCTGCTTTGTGTGAAGCCGATCTGTGCTAAATGCATTGTGTTGCAAAATGCCCAGTGCCAAGGGCAGACTGCAACACTATGCAGGAGACAGGAGGGAACTGTCCTTGATGTGGCTGTCACGTCACACATGCTGTTTGCCACTTCTGGTTAAAATGACTGAGTTGTAAGCAACTCAGCTGTGCCCTGAGACCAGTGTGCATGAAGTCACACATGTAATCTGCGCTTTCTAGAAACCGACCAGTCATCCAATCATGTGCAGTAAGCGACTTTCATCCAGATGAAACCACGCGGAAGTAGGATTTATGTGAGAGAAGCCGAAGAGGATTACTCACTAGTTTTTCCCGTCCGAGAGGGAGAGCTGAGACCATTTGTCGGAGATTTCTTGTCAGGAAGTAGAGTGACGGATGGTCGTGCCATCTTTTCACCTAAAGCCAAAACAAGAAAAATTGCCTTGAAAAGCTCCTTTTGTCCAAACAATACCACAAATCAGCAAAAATGTTCTTGTAAATAGCAGAAGACTTCAAATCTCAAACTGAAGGGGATGGAGAAGAGTGTGAACAAATGTTCTCAGTTAGCAGATGAGAATATTTGTCTGTAGTAGTTTACACAAACACACAGAATTGAACCATCATTATAAACATTTTGTCGTGGTGGTTATTCAAGTGTCTTATCGCAGATATAAACCCTATGAATACACACAGTAAAACAAGTCTATCTGCTTCTAGGGAAAGAGGGATGAATCTTGTCTTCAGACATTCATCTCAAAAGCAGAGTGGGCCACAATTTAATTCCACAAATTCACTGAATCGATATGTGCATCGTAGGCTGAACTGTCAGCACACAGCCAGTCATTTCACTCGATCAAGTGAATTATTCAGTTTTCAGTTAGAGGTTTTATTGTGCACTGAAACTGGCAGACAGCACTGACTTACTCCATTTGATGTCTTTGGCACTGTTCAGATCAGAGACCTAAACTTTAAAGCTTGACTGATTCAGCATGCCTAACCATAATGTTTATGCTGTGTCATCACATTCTTATTCACGTTTCATTTTTGTTTTTTTACCTTTTCTTTTTAAATTGGTCTTCCTTTAACTATGTGAATTCTTATTTAGTTGCTTTCAAGGCTTTGCATCTATTCAATATATCTTGATTATACAGAATTAATCCAGTATTAAATTTATTATGTCTAGAAAACCAAACACAAACCATAAACAGCCAAAGAAACCAACAATAAAAAGGTCACACCGTTCTTTCAAACATCATAGATAATGTCCATCAGGCTGTATGAAGTAGTTGGGTAAATTCATCTTATCAGTAAATTCTCTGTGAAGCAGTGAACAGAGGCATCCAATCATTTATTCTTCATTCTAATTATAATAAACTTAATTATAAGCCTCCATGGAGATTTCTCCTCTTAGAGGGCGTGGATAATGAAAACTAACAATGAAAAATAAAGCTTATTCTTAATCAGACATCCATCCAGTCTCCACCTCTTTAACACCGTTTCAAGGGATTGAACTGGACTAAAACAACATATCCTGAGTAAGTCCCTATGAAGTGCATGAAAGATCAATCGATGACAACCTGCCCTCGTATGAGACACAATGAAAGGCAGAAATAAACAAAGAGCAGTCACTTTTTCTCTTTTGCCAACTTTCGCTCGTGTTACATTTTTAAGGCATTGTGAATACTATCCAAACGTTAAAGGGTCCGTTTAGAAAATGAGCGAATAAACCAAACGGCGAGGCAGCCAGCAGCGTGCAGATAAAGCGGTCAAAACCAATTGCGTCATCATGAGTCTGCTTTAAATCCGGGATGAAACACAACAAACGCCGATTTCCCCCAGCCGCACAAACGTTTGCCCGAGCTTACCTGCAACGGCGCAGGATGATGTGATTGTTTTTGCCATCGTGGCTATCTGGTAGCACGGTCAGGGGTTGCACACAAACGGATGACCGATCTGTCACCCGAAACGATCCGCAGTGATGCCAACGCAGCTCAGGTATCCGCTTCCCCTCCTCAGCACGGCAGCCAGAGCACAAAGACAGAGGGACGACAGCGTTCAGCGGCAGAGGCTGGGGGTCAGAATGATGCCTCTGTCGGTGCAGATGGAGGAGATGGATGCTGCCAGGACCGGGGCGCAAATAACTGAGCGCAGGCGATCGAGTTAACGTCCGAGTGCCGCTCCGTGCGTCGCAGCATGAGCGCGCACCGCGCCGGACACACACACCAATCACGTTTGCCTGTTTTTACTGTTAGGATGCAGTGCGATGACAAACAGCCAAATTCTGAATCACCACTGTACAACGGGCTCCTTCAATTTTTTAATGTCACTGTTTACACAATTCCAGACGCAGTTAGGATGCCGTGTAAAAGGTCATGATAGACATAATGCATTGGTTATATTCAGTATTGTATATCAACCTGTCATCTTATCTCAAAGATGAGATTGTCGTTTTTCTGCAGTGAATAGAACATTAGTAGTCTGAAAATTGTTTCCCAAATTTGTTTAAATTGGCATTATGTGAAATCATGTGAGACACAAATATTGGTTAGTGTTTACATACTGCAATTACTTGTGGGGACTTGAAACAGTTACCCAGAGTTTTTACACAAGAAAACTCTCACAATGTAAAGTACAACATTTTAATGAAGCAGTTTTTTTACTCTGTGACTTTTGAAATAGTTGTAATTTATTTGTTTTCATAAAAGAGAACGATTGTAGTGGCTATTGTTCCTTTCGAGCCTATCTAATAAAATAAAAAAACAAAGAAGAAGAAGTAGTAGCATCGCATTTGCTGCCGTTTTTTAACACAGAGAAGAAGAAGGGAAACAGAAGCGCAAGCGTAACCGGAAGGGCAGTGCTAGGCAGAAGGACGGATCTGTGAGGTACTGAAGTGGGAAACATGTTGACCAATTTCTCCACTGTGCTGAGAGCCTGCGCTCAAAGAAATGTAAGTCCATATTATTTTACACAAAAGACTGCCTCAGCACGGTACTGGATGACAGTCTATATCTAAAAACTTTAGCTTTTTATCTCAAACAAGACAGTCATCGCTATTCTGACCTTGTGAGGCCGTATGATAGCTGTTTGGGCTAACAATGCTAAAATATGACAACATTTTTTTTCAGTTTGGGTCGGTGGTTTGGGCGAATAAAGATCAGTTGTTAAGTTTCCACAGTTTATCACTGTTAAGGCCAGGCTGTGTTTACTTTGACTCAGGTGTTACGAAAACTTGAAAATTGACAGCTCGCCTGATTCAAAACAACATTCGTCCGTCTTCGTTAGAAGAGAATAGAAAACGTCAGAGATGTGAAACATAAAATTATTTACACTAGAGAAGACCGTTCTGCTTAGCTAACATGTTGAGCGGAATAAATATGTTTTCATGTCTTAACTAAAACAGTGGTGGTACTCAAAGCTGACATCAGATAGTTACTGTTACTGTAGTTACTGTTGTGTAC